ATTAATTTTTTGTACTTCCAATCAAAGATTTTAGTAATTGAATATATAGAATTTTGTTGGGAAAGAAATGGCTCATAATGTACAGAGTGGGCTACCGATAACGCCTCGGTCTGTAGAGCCAAAATTATTTGTTTTTATAAAAATCTGTTTTTACAGCAAGATCATATTAAATATCCAAAGAAGTCTAATGGGGCATTCCATGCCAAATCGAACACCATTTAGTTTTTGGATCTTGGATTTTTTTGTTTGAGTATAGGTTGAAAGAGGCCTCCATGATTTTTAAAAAATTCAGATTTTTTTTTTCAAACGCCCATAACTTCGCGAAAAATGATATGAATGAAATATTCATAAGAACAAAAAATCTTTGTTGTCAAACATACTTTTCGTGAAAAATATCAAAAAAAATATTTCGAGGCAAGCTTCTATTAGAATTTTAACTTTTAAGCATAAACTATTGATTTACAAAAAACAGGTACTGATCGATTTTCCTCAAAATTTTTCTCAACAAACTATCACCTATTCTACAACTTTTTCGGCCATAATCATAGTGGGACAACGATGAGATCTATTTTTTTTCCATTTTTCATTTTTGACATTTCAGATTTTTGTGATAAAAAATGTCTAAAAAAAATTCTATGCTCAGGATTTACTGTTAACAATTATTTGAGACACAATTATCATGGTAATTATCAAATTTTATTTCCGAAGAAAGATTATTATTGACACACATCTATTTCCTTACACGTTTAAATATTTTATAAATCCGGATGATGAAAATTCTTTACATTTTTAATCATAAGTTTTTTTATTTATGTGTTTGTAAGCCCCCTCCTTTTTTAAATTAATTCCAACCATTTACTGTAGTCGGTCGGCAAAAAAGACTGTGGTGGATAAGTTATCGGTTGAGAATTTTTCTTGTTTACATCTAGGTTTAAAGAGTAGGGTTATGTTCTTGATCACATGATATTAGCGTCTTTTGTCAATGATCAATATCAACATTTTTAAAAAAATATTAGTGTATAATTTTACCATAAACAAGCAAATAGTATTATGAATATTTATGCCATGAAAAATTTTGGTAGATCATAGCTTCATTCGCGGTAACAATCTTGGGCTGGAACTCTGTGTCATGTAGAATTCTACTTATCGCTTTCTACAATGGAATCGATTACTTTCTTTTGTGATAAATACGTTATCAACCGCACGGGAAATATCGCAATGTGGTTTCTTATGAAACTAGTTATCCTGTAGTAAGTATATACTCGTTGGTTTTCCGCTATATTACACAGAGTGCCACAAAAGAATCTATTGTAGAAAGCGATAAGTAGAATTCTACATGACACAGAGTTCCAGTCCAGAACTGATTCAGAATTACTAATTCATACTTTGAGCGCATGCCCGAATCATCAATTCTGAATTTTTACCGCGCGCGCAATCCCTATTATATCTCGGTGTTCAGGTATAGACAAGCGGTTCAAAACCAATAATTATTTTACCGTGAACGTAGGATAGAACCAATAGTTCAGTTCTTTTTGTTCCGCGAACTCTTTTTAACTACTGCGCCTGCGAAATCGTTACTTTAGTAATAATTTGGTTCAGGATTCTTACCTCGAACAGAGCTATAATTTGTGCTCTAATCCTCAACAATTGGAAGACCATAGAGTGAACAAGTATTTCAAAAACGTGCAGATGCCATCACACCTTAACTAAATTTATATGGGACCACCCCTGGGGTACCCCCTTACCAACAAAAAAAAATCATATAAATCGGACAAGATAGTAAAGCATTATCGCTAAACATACATAAAAAATGAAGAGTTTGAGGATTTTCTCATGGACCCAATTATTAGATTTTTACCAAATTTATATGTGACCACTCCTGAAGTACCCCCTTTCTAACAAAAAAAGAATCATTGAAATTGGAAACCGTGTTATCGCTGAACATACATAAAAAAATATTGCGACGAATTGAGAACTTCCTCCTTTTTTGAAGTCGGTTAAAAATGGTCTCCGACGAGCTTCTATTACACATCAAATTGCACATAACTTAAGTACAAATGACTATCTCTGTACATCGTGTAGAAAAGCACTCGATTCGCAAAATACTGCATGTAATTCTGTTCCTGAGGTTGATGACAAATTTGAAGAGGAATTGGAAGATGTTCGTACTAAAAGTGCTCTTTCTTCAATCTCAACTATTCCATCTGGTAAGATTAAACAAACTTTGTCCTGAATATTATCATTATTATGATAAAACAGGTTTATTTTAAAATAAAAATTTAATCTCTTAAATTTTTAGGGTTAGAAGAATTTAGTGAAGAACTATCAACACAAACCAATAGTTTGTCTGGATTAAGTTTTGGAAAAGTACTGCCTGTTGTTAACAATGCATTTCGCTTTATTGAATCAATCACCAATTATCAAGAAACACGTTGATTGACAAACTTATTTAGAAAACAAAGTCAAAAAAGTTTACAATGACTTAAATACGACTTTAGAAGTCATAAAACAGTCTGATGATGAAACAAATTCACAAAATTTCCTAGAATTGCTCGAAAAATTAAAAACTAAATTTAACGATAGTAATACGCAACGATCTGAAAAAATCCAAATTCTTACTCTTTTGCCTGAAACGTGGGGCTTACCTCGAGTATGTGATGCGAGTATGTAATGGGATGTACAAAATACATGGCGTCTATTGCAAAATCTCTTCGAGAAAAGAAAAGAATTCTATCAACTCCGAATGCCAAATTAGGTTAGAATCTTTTTAGAATTATATTCAAATAAATAATGCATATGGAAATTTTCAGTGATAATTGAGTCTAATTTGTTTACATTTTAGGTCGATTTTTACCAAAGATTTTGGAATTCTATGCGAGTGATGAAATTAGTGTGAATATGCCAGGGATGAAAGAATATCTTTTTATTAGAAATGATGCTGGAACACGTGAGCATATCCAGAAACGTCTCATTCTCTCAAACTTGAAAGAATTATATGAACTTTTCAAATAACGATATAGATTGCAGGGTTGGCTTTTTAAAATTTGCATCATTACGTTCTCAACATTGTGTGCTTGCTGGTTCTAGCGGAACTCATACCATTTGTGTTCGTTCTATGCACCAAAACGTTAATCTTATGATGTTAGGTAAGTTATATACTAAAAAACTCTGTCAAAATAACTCATGGTTTCCTCCGTTGCAGGGTGTAACTTAACGGCACTTACTGACCAATTAGCAACGCCATTAAAAACAGAGATTGCTTTAAAATAATGTCAAAATCCCACCTGTAATTGTTATTTTCACAACTGTGATAAGTGTCCAGGTATACAAACTTTGAAGGACTTACTATTAGACAAAACCTCGTACGAGACATTTGTAAAAAAAATCATCAGATTTCGTCGACAGTTTTTGTGAAAATATCACAAGTCTTCTTCCCCGTCATTACATTGCTAAAGAATCATTAAATGAGAATGAGTACGTTGTTATCTGTGATTTTGCGGAACAGTATGCCTTTGTTTTTCAGAATGCTGCATCTGGATTCCATTGGAATAACAGCCAGGTAACTGTTTATCCAGTTGTAATTTATTATAAAAAAAATAATGAGCTGGTTTATAAATGTGTAGTAATCGTATCAGATTGCTTATCTCATGATGCAGTTGCCGTTCATGAGTTTACAAGAATTACCATTAATTTTATCAAAGGTCTTTCCAACAATATCTCAAAAATTATTTACTTTTCCGACGGAGCACCTCAACAATTTAAGAATTATCTCAATTATCATGAAGAAGAATTAAAGCTGAATGACATTACTTTGCAACCGCTCATGGCAAAGGACCTTGTGAGCAGGGGAAACTTTCAAGAGGATGGCAGCACGATCAAGTCTTCAGCTTCCATATGACCAACATATTTCAACTCCTCTAGAATGGGCGAAAGAAACAAATTCTTTACCAAATATGAATATTCAATTTTTTTCGAATGAAGAGTATAATCAGGCCAAACTATTATTAGATCAAAGATATTTACGAGCGAAGACAATCACAGGGACGCAAAAATATCATTGTGTCATTCCAGATGGAAAGGCTACTTTGAAATTTAAATAATTTTCATCATCCGTTGAATCTCGGATATATAAAATATTTAAACGTGTAAGAAAATAGATGTGAGTTAATAATAATAATCTTTCTTCGGAAATAAAATTTGATAATTACCATGATAATGAAATCCGACAACCGGGGGTTGATAATTAATTTAAATAATTCCTATATATTACAAATATTCAAATTTTTATTTCGAATTCAAACAACATCCCATCGTATCCCGCCTCGTAGGCGCCGTTTAATTATTTCTGAGAAAAAAAATCTACGCGTAAACTCTAACGGTCGCTAGAACAACACAGATGTAAGACGATAGGGTTATATTCAGGAATTAATACAGGGCTTTATAGTCTTTATACACCGAAGTCACAGTCGTTCTTTGTCTGATACATTTGCATATATGGGAAATTTAAGTATAAATACCGGGGTTTTTCATCTTCGCCGAGTCAAGTTAACAAAAAACGCAAATATCCACGTTACCGCCACGGTGACTCCTTTTTCTTTATATATGGTGTGTCCATGGATGGGGTCCCTAAGGGGAAAAAAATCTATTATTAATTTTACGACCAAAAATCATTCTTTATAAAAAGTTCTGCTTGTTGAGAAAATGGAGTTGCCTTATAAAAATTTTAGATTAAATGTACAGGGTGTTAATAAATTAGGAAAATATGAAAATGCTTCAAGAGGGAAGTACCATTATTTATTATTTTTAACACAAATTTTATAAAACAAAGTTGTCAAAAATACTGACAGATGTAAATAAAATGCTGACATAACATGAACGTATACAAAATCGGCTATCTTGATTTTTTTTGTAAAATGCAAATTATTACATGAAAGTAATAATTATTAATATTCTATTTTAAAATATTGGAATTTTTATTTTACAAAAAAAAATCAAGATAGCCGATTTTGTATACGTTCATGTTATGTCAGCATTTTATTTACATCTGTCAGTATTTTTGACAACTTTGTTTTATAAAATTTTTGTTAAAAATAATAAATAATGGTACTTCCCTCTTGAAGCATTTTCATATTTTCCTAATTTATTAACACCCTGTACATTTAATCTTAAATTTTTATAAGGCAACTCCATTTTCTCAACAAGCAGAACTTTTTATAAGGAATGACTTTTGGTCGTAAAATGAATAATAAAGATTTTTTCCCCCTTGGGAACCCCATCCATGGACACACTGTATATAATGAAAATATAAATATAATTAAAAAGAGATATCGCTACCCTTACGGTGGCCGCGATTTTGTTATATTTTGACAACGGAAATAAAAGATATCGACGGAGTAGAGAAATTAGTTTCTATAAACGACGGCTTCTGCATAGATATCCAGTTGTCCTTAGGATGACCACCTTTTTCTTATATTTTATATATTAGTAAAAGGAGATATAGTCAGGTTGACCAAGCAGATACACGTTGAATAGAACCAAATTTCGCTCCTAGAACTGTTTTGTAAGATTGTATCTACCAAGCGACTAAAATATTGGCGTAACTAATACTGGTGATACCACGCTAGTCTAGTTAAACGCCAGATATTTTGTATCTCTGATTCAACATTATAAAATGTTACTAAATGATTAAAAGTACTACTCTAGGCGACGTTCGTAGTGGATTTCGTCACCCTTCAGGCTGACCCGACAAACTTGCACCCGGTAGACCCTTTTATCAGCGGTATATTTTTTCTGTAAGGTTTCTTTTATGTAGAATTAAAACGATAATCGCACTATTAAAGTAATCAAACTGGTATTTAATATTCAGATATTCCGGGGGAAAATATTTTTACTTTCCTATCTGTATACAGATATAAGGAAAGTATAGGAATCATGATTTTTTCGACCTCGAGTTTTCGACGGATTTTTACGTTTTGAGGTCCCCTGAATCCGTTTTGATTATTTTCGCGATGATGTCTGTGTGTGTGTCTGTGTGTCGCATAATTCATGAACCGATACACAGAAAAACACCAAATTTTAAACTTAAGCTTTGTTCCAGCGTCCAATGAGCTGATTAGATTTTGGGCAGAGTCGGAACATCTGGGAGGGTACTTTATGGGTGATCATTTTTATATTTTATGGAATATATCTGTTATTTATGTTTGGAGAAAAAAATTGTTCAAATAAAAGTTACTTCTAATAATATTATCTATAAGTTTTGCTCTATGTAAAAATTTCCTGAAATGGTCCGTATTCGAGAAATTTGACAAAATGTGCAAAATTCTGATTTTTATGAAAATTGTTGAAATAAAAGTTGTTTGCGATATCGATCTCATGATTTTTGTAAAATAGACCGTAATGGAAAAATTGTAGGAAAAGTGCTAAATTAAAATTTTTCACTATTTTCGTTTTCAATGAATATCTATAGAAATATGTTTCGAGGTAGATGTATGTGAAAAATGTATATATTTAGTTTATCCTCCTCTAAACATTTATAGAGGTGCTGTAATAGGTTGTACAAAATAACCGGAAAAAGCCTATAATAACTAGATAGGAAAGTCATGTGTTGGACACATCAGATTTTTTGTTCTTATGAAAATTTCATTCAGATAATTTTTCCCGAAAACGGATGGAGAAAAAAATTTGAAAAAAATCATGGAGGTCTCTTTCAACCTATACTCAAACAGAAAAGTTTCAAAAAAATCCAAGATGCAAAGACTAAATAGTATCCGATTTGGCATGGAATGCTCCATTTTCGTTAGAATTTGCGTTTAAAGTTGCTTTTATAAAATTAGACTTCTTATATAAGGAACTTTATTTATTTATCATATAAAATATGTTGAAGTAAACTATATTCCGATATCCAACGACGACAATTTATCATAAATACCTTTTTTTTTTGTAAAATACTGGATGAATCCATATAAGTTTAGTTGTGTATTTTTTTCGATCTAGCCCTGGCATAAGCTTCAGGCTAACCAAACTAAAGAAAGCATAACTTTTGACAATTTTGTAAGAACATTTATGTACAGAACCTCATGAGCATACTTTTAAATAGAATATTTTGCAATAATTAGTGTACGTTCAAGGCACGCAATTGGGTTCGTAATCAAAAATACTCAAAATGATTTGTGCCGGGCAGTAACAAGCCTTTAACGAATACAAAACTTAACAAAATTGTCAAAAATATATGCAAAACCTGTAAAAAAAATAGGAACATTAAATTAGTATAAAAATAATTGTAAATCTCCACGTTTTCGTTAATAAAATAATAGTTAAACCAATAAATAAAATAAATAAAAATATGGATTTACAAAATAATATCAATAAAAAACTAATTTTTGCAGACTGGTATTTTAACTATTTTAGGTCATTGTAAAAAATATAAGTTTGTCTAGTTATAGAACATTGTAAGAATTAAAAAAAAAATAAATCATTATCTAAAAATAATTAAATTTAGTTTACTATTGACATCTAGTACTGACTGCAAGTATGTAAATAGTGCCCAGGAACTATTTTAAAAATAATTTTTCCTACAACCACATAAGATAGTGTTTAGACCTATGGAAAGTGTCCTATATCCCACGTGTAATAATCTATTTCCGGCATCATTTCTATTTTGATTGTTGTAATGGTACAAAATCCCTCGTTTTTCCTAATGAAATATTTTATACAATATAATAAATGTATAAATAAACACAAGGTGCCAAGATTGGCGCCCCACATCCAGTCCAGGCTATTTTTATTGAAAATGAAACGAAATTTTGCCTCTTCATTTTCTATCACTTTTATTGATAAAAATAAAAGTGCAATAAACAGTGAGAACTGACAAGCTTTAACAAGTCACGATATAGTAGTTTATTTTCGATATGGTATTTAAGTGGTGCGATGTAGAAATATAAAGAATCAGAGAATTTTCATTATTATCTTCTAAAATATATTGTAATTCGCACAATTGAACACATATTTCACGAACCGCACCACGTACTAGCTTTCTTTTGCGCGCCATTTTAAAAAATGAAACGCTAATTAGTCTATTTTAAAATGATCATTATACAGAGTGCAACAAAAATATGTACAGTAAGTTTAACCACAGTTTTTAGGGGTCAAAAATAAGTCGATTTAAGGTAACTTGTTTACATAAAAAATGGATATTAATAAAGTTACAGGGTGTTAAAATAGAAATTTCATAAGTTATTTTTTAACATGTTTTTATGAAAATGTATATGGAATGTTAACTATACAATGACCAATAAAATGGAGTTAGTGGCGTTTAAAATTGTTTAAATTTTATAGGTTTTTAGAGGGGTTCCGCACCAATTTAATTTTATTTAATTTAACAAAGAAATTCAGTTAAAAACAGGACGCCACTGAAATCCTACATCTGTTTTAAAACATTTTTGCCTCTTAGTATTTATAAAGTTGTAAAAAAGTAAAAAAAAAATCCTAAAAAAATATTTACAGGGGCTTATAATTCAGTAAAAACAAATACTAAGAGGAAACAAAACTCCTGTTTTTAAATAAATTTTATTTTTTAAAAAAGTAGAGGACAAAAAGGTCGCATATCCCTTCTAAAAACATATAAAATTAAAACATTTTAAAACGCCATATCTTGAGTGACCTGCCATAACCAGCTTTTCCGTTTTTAAATTAGTTTGCAAAAAATATCTAGTGGTCGTAGGAAAAACAATGTACATAACTTATGCGAAAGTGATTTATCCAACTAGTCTGAAAAGTATCACTTTCCGCACTAGTAATGTGATATACAATTGCCTAAAAGTTTACTTTCTCCTTGAAAAAAAATAAAAATAAAACCAGTCTTTTAGAACTTTACAAATACGCAGAAAAACGTCTTAAAAATGGCATGTTTATTTTTTAATGTACAATACAGTGGACTTACCACAATGAGATGCTACAGAAAAAGATTTTAAAATCTCTACCCTGTTTCATTATACACTATGTCAAAAGATAAGCATGAACTACCTAAAGAAATTAAAAATTTACAAAAACGCCCAGATGAAACGGAAAAATCCTGAGTAAGCAACGGCCACATATTCAGATCTGAGGAAAGAAAAGTAGCCTAAAACCTGGGAAAATTAAACATGAATATTTCTCCACGTAGTTCATCTTATCTTTCACACCTCATGCAGAACTTTACGATTACTAATTTCGGGTTACACCCAGAAATACGGTAAGTTACTGCCACATGTTGCCTGCTTGTGGTGTCTGATTCTTTAGAGATAAATTAGTGAACTGCTGAGGCAAGTTTTGGTTGGGATTCTGGTTATTGGAAAAGAAGGGATTCGCAGGAAAGTTGGACATGTTATTGGAAGATTGAAATGGTGCAGCGGGTCCCAATGCTGGTGGTGCGGCGTTGAATGAAGTAGGGTTGCCCATGTATTGGTTCATTGTGGGAGGGTTGACTGCAAAAGGCTGTAACAATTTTTGTAGTTAATTTTTATAGAATATTGAAAACAAGTTTTTGCTTTAAATTCATTTAAAATACAGTTAAATTTTCTGAAGTTAACATTTTTGGAATATGCCAAATAGATGCATCATGGATAACAACCACTGATCTGTATTATTTTACTGGATAGGATATAGGCTATATTTAACATACTAAAAATCCGTTCCACCAAGGAGACCGGAAGTGCAACACTGCTGGCCGATTTGGGCAAATTATGGTGGGTTCACAGAACTGAATTTTGGGATAATTTGACATACCTAACCTATAATTTGATTAGTTTTTCTTCTTATTCTTCTTCTATTTCTTTTGCGGGCAATGTTCTTCGGGACAATTCACCCACGATTTGATTTTTTTTATGAAAGAAAATATAAAAATGGAAACGTGAAGCATATTGTGTCTTCACGAAAGAACCTTTATTGTTTATATCATAGTAATTCTATCCGATACTACCTACATAAATAAAAAAAAACATCTCGTCGTAACTTGTTGACACAATTAAATGACAAATGTGATGACAAATGGAAATAGAGGTTATGTTAAATAACATCCGGTCCGCCATATTATTTGCCCAAATCGGCCAATTTTTCGGAATGTTTTTTAGGGGGCTATATCCTATCCAGTAAAATAATACAGATCAGTGATAACAACCATACAGGTGCATCGAACACATTTTTTAAAGTTTTTGGAAATAACATTTTAAAATGAGGGTCAACCATTCAAATATAATATCTAGAATAAGTCTTCGACAAAGTAAACAGTAATAACTTAATTATTATACAAGGTGTCCCATTAGTCTTATAGACGCGCAAACAAAATTTACATGGATTTGAGAAAGACATATTTTAGAAATATTCTTGGGTATACAGGGTGTTACGTTTTGCCTGAAAAATAAAAATGATTATCTTTTTTAAATAGAACACCCTGTATTTTATTTCAATTTTAGAATGGCCTGGTGATACTGTATTTAAACCTAGAATGTTTTTAAAAAATATTACAGGGTTGCTAATCAATTAATTATCATATTTATGTAGGTTAGAAATAATTTTAAAATTGTTTAAAATACAGACTTATAAAGACTAATCTAATGAATAGTGATGATCTAACTGGTTAAATTTATATAGTGTTTTAAATATGACTAAATCTTTTCAAATGTAATGTATATTATTTTGGCATTAAAAACATAAATTTACCTATCCAACCAACATGTTAGTCTATTATACCTACGAGTACATATAAAGGGTGCCCCATCTAAGTGTAATTGATCGATAACTGTTTTATTATTATTGGAGATACAATTAAATTTTTAATCAGGATTCGGAGGATATATATCAAGTGATATATCATGATATATTTCACGATATATATCATGATATTTATACCTTGATATATATCCGATATATTCGATAATTTTATTTATTAAATTAAAAATGTTTTCTACCATTCTGAACATCTGAAAATGTCTCAATACGCCCCTGTATAAAAGTATAATAACTAGCAATTTATATGTGTTCGTGTTAAAATATTAACAAAATAATGTTAAAATCGGTTTATTTTATTAATTATTTTTGTTTTTTCGTCTTAACTTGAGTTAGAATAAACGGTTTTGTTGTTTAGAATATAGGTTTTTATTAGTATGTTTGTGTTAAAATTTAAAATATAGTTTGTGCAAGAAACAGTACTGTTTTTTAAATTTTAAAAATGATATACAGGCTCACGCTCAACGGGACAGATCTTTATGGGAAAACGACCAAAGATATAAAAAATTCGTTTGGGAGGAATACGTAGGTTACAGACGGCTACAATTTAAAATTTGTTAGATGTATACAGGATGTCCCACATAAGAAAAAAAAAATTAGTTCATTAAAAATTATTCAAACAAGAGTAAACAATTAATTTCTGGGAGACTTTTTTTCCTTAAAAATTCAAATAAATCGAAAACTAATAATAATAGTAATAGGGAACCTTTAGTTAACTGACATTATTTTTGATGTAGTTTTTAATTCTAAAATAAAAAACAGGGTGTTCCACTAAAAATAATATAACTTTGTATATTTTCTCTTATGTGGGACATCCTGTATACATCTAACAAATTTTAAATTGTAGCCCTCTGTAACCTACGTATTCCTCCCAAACGAATTTTTTATATCTTTGGTCGTTTTCCCATAAAGCTCCGTCCCGTTGAGCGTGAGCCACCCTGTATATCAGATATCTATCCGATATATATCATGTGATATGATATTTATATAAATATCATATTTTCGAACTCTGTTTTTAATACAAAAGTTTTACAAAAGTAATCTTAAATATACAGGGTGATTCATTAAGAATAGCGACCGGCCGTATCTCAGTATTTTTTTTATTGAAAGAAACGTAAAAAGAGGTCGATTTTTATTTCAAGGAGGGCGGCACCTTTCTATAATATCCTCAACTGTCATATTTCATTCCTCTCCCCTATGTCAATCTAACCAATGCAATTTAAATAAGGAAACTACCAAGTATGACACATCGTCGGAAAGGTAATTTTATGGCGAATTCAACAATATGACTGTTCATTGCGTTCCTTTTAATTTTAACGCCTTCTAGCGGGATTAAAAATTATTACCTATGCTAAAGTGTGACACTTCATTTGAAAGTTAATTTTATTAGTAATCCAATGCAGCACATAACATGTTATCCTGTATTTTTACGGACTTGTTATTCTGGATTTTAAATTCCAACTTAGTTATTATAAAGTTCAATTTATTATAACTAATAAAAAAAAAGAAAGAAAGTTTACTATAAGCTCAGCCAGGAGGGGTCGGGTTATAATTAATGTAAATAAAAGGCCAGTGCTAAATGAAGTATTGTGTTCCTTTAATTATATATTTCTATGACCAGATGTCAAATCTTAAATCGACCTCGTGCGTATTCAATTGTGAGGTTATATATAATATCTTCGTGTAACTTTTATCAAGACAATTCTAATTACGAATAGGGTAGTTGCCCCTCAAGTACGTACTTTTGGTTGACAGGTAAATATTTGCAATCTACAATACTAATTAAATAACCTATAAACTAATTTAAATACAGAAAATTTACCCGATATGAGGGCCAAACCCTGCTTTAAAAACGATTATATATATTTACAAACGATTAGTAGGCTACTAATATATGATTAATCGAATGGTCCAAACAAACAACTGATATTCACTATCTAAATTTGTAGACAGTGTATTAACTGGATGGTCCAAATTAAGATTACCCTGGATGTATTGTGGGCCTAATAATATGGGAAGGTCCTACCTTAGTATTCCTGAAGGATATTCGGTGTTCCTTATTTGATTAAGGAGGTCCTTTCGCCACCAATGTTAAATAAAAAATATTAGATTATGACTAAAATTAATTTTTTTCTAATAGTAGAAGTCCTTATTTATCTAATAGTGAACTTTTAACTATACCTTACCGTGCAAATTTTTGAGAAGGACCTCCTTAAATAACTGGTAACTATGGTTTTTCTTCCAGGATCATCCAGGTATACAATACGTGTACTGGAAACTGGTACTGGCCGCTGTAGTGAAGTTACCAAGAGATTTATATCAATATATTTAATCCCAAATCACAGAGTTGGTATATATGTTCCAGAAAACTAGTTATCGATAAGTTAAATGTAAAACTAGTGGTTAGCGAGGAGTCGATGTGAAGTTGAGTGGAATTTGTAGTTAACAAAAAGTTAACGTGAAACTTGCAGGCCTAAGATGGTGGGTGGCCTTATTGTAATATCTAATATTATTTGGGTAATCAGTATCCCTAATTTTTATCACCTATCCAACAAATTGGACAAGAATAAATAACCTCCAAATAATATTTTTGGGTTCTAGACTTGCAAAATCCTTTTCAAAAAAATAGTTACAGAGCCTTCTGCAGCCTAGCAAGTCGTGTTAGAAAGTGACCCAAATCAACCCCCAAAAAAGGTTGAAAGTCAGAGTCAAAGTTCTCTTTAAAAATGTTGAACAAAGGTACCTATCATAAGTTCCAACTGTACTTTAGTTCACCCAGAACCAAATCTTGTCAATCTGGTGGATTGAATGACAATGATACAAGGACAAGTGACACAATAATAAACAAACCCTATCTATTATTAAAATAACTAGAATTATTATTACTTATTTTAGGATAGAAAATATCAACGATAAGAGAAAAAATGAACAGAAGAATATAATATAATTAACAGAATATTAACATGGAAAATCTAATTAAAGAAGGTCAGTAACTTCATGACTTTGGTTCTCCGATTATTAAAGGTATGTTTTATTTTAAATTTCAGGTAACCAGAATCAGCTGGGGAGAGAAACTACTCTATTAAATGTCATCAGGCTTTAGATTTATTCTCTTTACAGGATATTTTATATAAATTTTAAATATTAATATTAAACGTTTCATTTGCATAAGAGGTGCATTTTTCTCACTAGTTCGAAGAGTAATGTTTACTAGGAAATTTGAAACTGTAACAAACATTAACCTAGATATCTCCATATTGAACGTGCAAAAAATAAATTTAGTAATAACCCATTTTTTCCATTTAAGTTCATTTTTGATTTAGTTAACATATTACCTAGTAAGTACTTTCCCTATTTAAATTGTATCAGTTAGATTGACGTAGGGGAGAGGAATGACATACGACAGTTGAGGATATTATAGAAAGGTGTCTCCCTTGAAATAAAAATGTCTTTGCATTTCTTTAAAAAAAAAAATCTACTTCAATATATTCTGAGATACGGCCGGTCGCCACCCATAATGAATCGCCTGTACATGGTAGTCTATAAACTTAGTTTTTTAAACTAAACACCCTGTAGGTAGTTACGCATAACAGATTCAATTGTTTTCATATCGTTTTACAATTTTAATAGAAGTTCCTAAAAACGTTTTGCATTTTCTATTAATTTGCTGTGATGTATACAGGGGTGTCTAAACTCGCGGTTTTTATTCT